ACTGTACTATAGACCCAAATACACCGGCTATCCACTATTGGGGCGCAAAACGGTTATCAGGGAAAGTCGATATTGAGTGAGAATTGGACCCTGTTGAGAAAATTGGAAAAAAAAACGATAAGTCTAGCGAAGTATGTTCTCGTTTGCTCCATTCTTTCTTATTTGTACTTTTCTCATCCTGGCGTTCACATCATCTCTATTCATAAATTTCAAAAAAAGGACGAAAAAAAGCGAGAACTTTTGATTGTTGCCTTCCCTAAAAACAGTCTGTTCCTATCACATTTACGCGTTTCTCATAGACTTTCAACGATCAAAGTTTTCAATTGAGTTTTCCTGATCTTTTTTTAGATCACCTTGTTGTCAATTTGGGCCGAACATGGATGGTGCCACGCACAACCCGAATATATGGGCGTCTATTGTGGTCCGAGCTGCGGATCATGCCTTCCTACCTACAATATGACTAGCGGTAAGCTATGACTCAAAGTGGGCCCATCGTTATACACCTCGAATTCTCATCAAAGAAGACGAAATATCCGATAAATTAGCGAATAATCAAGAAATAGCTAATTTTGAAGCACACTGCGTGGATCTTCATCCGATGTGCAAAGAATTCAAAGCACAAGGTCTATGTCGAGGTAAATCTGAGGACTTCATGACGCAGAATTGCCGTGTTTCATGCCAAACGTGCGGAGTTCAGAATGAAAAACGTTGCTATAAAGATGGAAAGGTAGGTTTGCTCTTTTTTTTCGCCATGTTCTCAAAATCACAAAGGACGATATGGATAGTTTGTGATCACTCTAAGTCTTTCTTGGACACATTCTGCCCTAATGGCTTTTCTTGTAATCGCGGAGTAGTATACTTACATCTGAGATTGCGCATCAACATTTTTTTTACTTGCCATAGCTCTTAGCCACCATTAATTCTAAGTTTTTAGTTGATTCTCCCTGTCGTTTCGAAGGAACTTGTGCTTTCCATTCGAGACACTATTGACTCAGAAGTGTTGGAACGAATAGAACTGGCGAAACGATCAATTCAAATAAATAGGGCACGTATAGAAGTCTCCCACTAATAATTCTGTTTTCACTTTTGATGCTTTACTCCAACGCTTTCCTTCAGTGTTTCCTTCTTTCATCGAATTCTCGGTTTCCATGTATGGTCTCCAAAAAGTTCTATACAATGATTTGCTCACGGGCCGCTTCTTTATTTCTTCCTTTTCTTTGGCCTCCACGATTTCCTGTAGATATTTCCGTGGTCAGGACTAAAGGATGTCCGTCACATCTCTTCTAACTGGTAATGGTTGAGCTCACTCAGGGACCCTCTAGAGTTTAAGCTGAAGATTCATGTGGTTTCACAAAATCGGACCTCCTGCCTACGCCGGACTTCGGCTCGAGCTGTGGTGGGGTGCAGGAACCTTGCAGCTCACCAAAATGCTCGATCTCTTCTTCTCATTTCATTGTGTGTAATTATGTACATTATATTTTGCTCCATCTTATGATAAACATTATTTTCCTACCTCACTAGCACATACACACTTGGATTTTAGTTCCTGCTCGGAACACTGAAATAAGAACTAAGAGGATCACTTTTATAGAAAAAGGGTTTTTTTTTCCGTTGTCTGGAACGAATAAATATTGCACTCACTCGCTGAAAAAATTTACTCACAAAAGCGCTAGCGATCATTCGAAACCTTGATTCTCTGGCTACGGCGATTTGTGGCCGGTTTATCAAAATATTCTTTTATAACGCTGCAAAAATCAAAACAAAATTGCGTTTCACATGGCCACGCGTTTTCTCTTTTATATCACTTATATTTCGCTCAGAGGATTTCGAAAAGCGGCCATGTAGCGCTGGAGCCAGAGATTTAGGCTTTCGAATGATTACTAACTTTAAGACGAAAACTTTTGCCCATCGAAAAGAGTCGTTTTTTCATTTCTTTGCTATGAACGAAAAGAACCAAAAAATCGAATCAAAAAGTGAAAGATGATGATGCTCAGATAGTTCCAGATCGGTACTGAAGTGAACAACTATTCAAGATTACTGGAATCTTCCTCAATCTTAACAAGACTAAAAGATTTTCTTGCATAAGTATGCAGGACAAGATGAAATAGCCGTTTTCGACAAAGTTAGCGTTAGTTCAATCTTTGGATTTTCTGATAAAGCCATTACGAGGCACGTTGTAAAAGACTGTGTACTCCAACGAATAGGGCGGCGAGACTGGTTAGTTGAGCAGAACTTACGGGTAATCGACTGAATGTTATAGTTTATTCTTTACTAAAACAATCATTTGATCAATTTCTGGACATAGAAAATTTATGATTTCTGTTGACTGACATAAAGGATAGATGAAAGATAAAGCTCTCGGCGTTCGATCAATTCTTAAAAGATGCGACATGCATTCGTCTTCAATTTCTAACCTCGTTTGCTTTTTCTCCCAAACAAGACTGAAGCCAGTCTGGTACCAGTTTACCGACTTCGGAGGAATGGATGGCATAGTGAGCCATAAGCACAAGATCGAACCGCCGACCTTATGGGCAGCGCAGAGCACCTTTAACCATTGCGCCACAAGCGCTTCTCTTGATTGGTATAGAAATCATAAAATTGAGAAATTGTCAAATGAGCTGTAAATTCCTTCTATGCATTTCAATAAGCATTCAAGAAGGCTTTTCGATCTGCTTGATGAATGCATAGTATAGTGAATACATGAATGCATAGAATTCATGTTTTTGCACACCACTCTACATTAATGAATACGTAGTGGCAAAGAAGGAGAAAAATCTCAAGATTAATCGAAGAAATGGATGTTTGAGAATCTCGTAAAACCTATCTCGATCATTCGATTCCTGGCTTGACCTAAAACAAGCACTCGCTTATTGTGATCGTACGAGATAATTGTTTATGATGGTTACACTTCACTCACTAAAGTGGACAACTGGAACGACAAGTGTTTCGTTTGAAGCCCTTGTAACCGGCTTGGGACCAAAACCAGGGACTGCGGAATCCAGGTTATATTTCCACCGAATAGGTCGTTCGTAAAAGCAAATCTGTGCGCCCCTGAACGAGGTATATTTTGCAGAAGTGTCGAATAAAGTTACTTTCAACACTATAAACCCACTCAATACACTTGCTAATACTACGAGAGAAAACTTGCTAACGGCACTTTGTTGAATAAAACTTCTAAATTATCAGTAAAAATACAATATTGTAAAAATTACCCTCAATCATAAAAATGCTGATTTATGAGCAATACTCGAAACCTCTAATGAAGGTCGAACCTGCGATTTCCTTTATGGAAGGCTCACGTGCTCCCACTGCACCAACCGAGGTTCGCACTTTGCCTTCCCTTCGCCACTCAAAAGTGTAAAAACACAGCGCGCTAGCCATCGTAACCACATCAGCCACATCACTCTGTTTAAAAGATGGCCGTAATTACTTACACTCGTTTACTCACCATTGCACATTGCAGTTTGAAAATATCGAACAACCACACAGTGATGATGGTTGAGCCTTAACCACTACACCATATGCGAAACTCCCATGGTGTAAAGACACATCATTGAAGAAAAACTTACCTAATATTGACTTTCTCTTAACCATGAAATTATTAGTTACTGCTTTTTTTATGAGCAGACTCAAGGCTGTTATCAATAAACTTCATTTGATACAATGGTGACTGACGTTTAGGCGCTCTCGCATTCTTCAAAGTCTCGAAAGATCAAATTATCATACAATATGCTTGATAGTTATTTTGAGCTATTCGTGTGGCCTGTTATGGGCACTTGTACAGCCTAATACACGTGTTTCGGCCTTGCAGCCTCGTCAATCGCTCGGTGCATTTCGTCTGAGCCATTCGCTTTCGAGAGAAAAAACTGTCACACAGAGGAGTCATCGACGAACGTTTTAGACGCGCCGATAAGTGATAAAATCACCGAACAGACAATGTTGCACACTTGATTGTTCTTGGCTGGCACTGTTAAATATATGATGCCTTTCGCTTTGAGTGTATGCCTTGAGCTTTACTGCTGAGGTTATAGAAGTGTACGAATAAGTATGTTGCACAACAATTTCACCTTTCCAGGCTTTGGACAGAGCGAAACGGCCGCAACTCCAGTCATTATTGTGTTGAATATATCCTGCTTTTAACAACCTCTTGTCTGTTAATCAAGGCAATAGTGAATAAAATAAAATTACTTGCAGATATTTTGCACAACTTCGCAGTGTTAGTTAGTCCAGTTGCTTGGAGAGGTGACTGAGTATCAAGAAATCGTGGCGTATCACTCGAATGAAATCAGAATGACTTTGTAATAATTCAATTTTTTGATTAACGATGGGCAAATTTTTATTATAGGAATTTGATACTATTATTGTTGATATTTGATGAACAATAAATAACTTGGCTTAATGGAGACTTGTTTCCACTGTATTTCGCCAATTTCTCGAAGAATAGTGGCTATGAAAGAGAAGTTGCCTTTTCGGATATAGAATGTCCTTAGTTCAACTATGCTATTACTGCGTTAGGTGTGCCCGCCCACACATGTTTTCGCATTATGGACAACCATTTTTTCTCGTTCAAATTCAATTAGTTTACTGGAGAAGAACTAAGTGGTGTTATTTAGTAATCAAATGACCTTGTCTAAAAAGTGGCGCACGTGTTACTGCTGAAATAGGAGGCGCCTACTGGTTCTCTCTTTGTTAGTAATGAAACTTTATAGGAACTTTCATATTTATATTTATCAAGGTGTATTGAAAATGGAGAATACGAAATCCTTATATCTATATAAAAAGTCGATCTCTCGAAAATTTCTATAGTCTTGCATCATCAAATGAAATTAGAGGCAAATAACACAAAAATTTTTCAATGTCTAACAAGGTTTTCTAATACAGAATGTTTTGAATGATCGAATAAAACGGCTGCTCGGAATCTCTAGTGTTTTTACTGTTCTTTTCGCGGCGTTATGATGCTTCACATATACTTGAGAGATTTAAGTGTTGAGCAAGTATATGACCTCAGACGGGAGTCGAACCCGTGTTTCACCCATATCGGGGACGCTTGCTATCACTACACCACTGAAATGCATTCGAGCTGCAACTCAGTGAAATCGCATACCCGACTAAACCTGTTAAAGGTTGGTGGCTGACAGCTATTATAGATATATTGAAGAATGAGTGATGGCGCGAATGCACCTCTGTGGTGTAGTGGTGGCACTTGTCCCCGGTATGGATGAAACGCGAGTTCGACTCCTGTCTGAGGTCGTATTTTTGCTCACCACATAATTTTTTTTATGTATACAAAAAGGACTGCTTGCACAGGTACTAGTAAAATCGATAACCAGTCTAACCAGTGAGGAAACAAGCTTTTGTAGACGTAATTTAGACTTTCTATAATAATTTGTCTCATGGAAAATCATGGAATAAGTTATCGATTAGTATGACGCGAATTTTTATAATACGTTATCAGTTAGGTCATTAAGAAGGAAAAGGATTGGCAACCAGTAGTACAGCATTCCTGAGGATAATTACCGACTGCACAATCTTGCTTCGTCCTAGAATCGAGACATCTAGGAAACAGTTTACAGGTAAAATCTTAAATACACGAAATAATTACTTCCAGAACTAAGGGTGTTGAATAAAGAAAACAGTTAAGTAAAAAATCCCTACAAAGGATCTGATCATTGAAAAACAGGCTATAGCAAGGCGATTTTTCTTTGAATGCATCACCGTCATTACAGTTTACAAGAGAAGAAAAAAAAAACAAGTTGACTTCATCTTGTGATTGACCGCACCTTAACAACCCTCACGGTCTAATATTTAACGGTATCTCTCTGTTTTCCAGATAAGCACACACGACATTGTTACCACGCGATTTATTCAAAAAAGCTTCCACCGGACTTCACCTTCCGCAGGGTCAGGAAAGGTCAAGCTGATCGCACACATTCAAAAAACCTTCATGACTCCATGAAAAATCAACGGGACACAAATCTAGTATCGGAAACAGCAACTTTTCACACGTTCACCACCTCCTATATATCTTCCACTGGGCATTTCATGTGGAGACAAGTCGTATACAGTTCCATAAATGGGTAATGCACATCTCTCACTCAAAGTCGCTACAGGGATGTAAAGAAAAGCGTACTGGTGTGAATACAGTGATGAAACTAGAGGAGCGATATGCCTGCGTCCGTACATAGGAACATCTAGCCGGTACACTAAATCAGAATATTCCACTAGGCGCGCAAATTGCAAGAGACGGAATGGAGATGTTTTGAAGTAGAAGCTACCATCCTGATGTAGAAATGTAGAACTTAAACGCATAAACTTCTTGAAATAGCCTTTGTAAATTCTAAGAATATGAAATTGAACCATGAGGAGAAATGAATCATTATCTCGAATGATCTCGCACATATTTCGGATTGATATTTTGTTGTGAGAGAGATGCATTACACAACTCTAATAACACTGTCCGGTCTATCTTAAGCAATAAATAGAAGGCTTGTCAAAACGGTAAGTGCCTGCAGAAACTATTTTCTACGAGAATAGCACTTAGGCTCCGAGTTTTTTTGGTTGGTATTTCGGAAATATTTGGTCGTCTGGTATGTATATCAACTAGGTCATTTCAAGCTGTTTAAGAGGACAAAATCCACCAAAATCCGCCAAAATCTTAGTAGTCATAGAATAAATGTTGTAGTAACGATTTGCCTGTACTTTTCTGTAAGACAGCACGATATTGACCAATACTAAGGTAAACAAAAAGTCAGTCATGGAACACTTTTTTGCCGATTTATAGAAGGATCTATAAAAGAATGCCATCAGTGCTTTGAATTATGACTGTATGCGAAAGCGTGTGGAGCACTTAACATCCATGAGTCTACAACGATGCTTTCAATATGGCTAATGTTCACTCTCTTCGCCACTCTACCGTCATAGCATCCATTAGCTCTCATCCTTAGGAAATAACTGATAAGTGACCGTAAAGTGTGGCGTATACTGATAAGAGCAAAAAATTTTCATTGCCTTTTCCGTCTGCTGTCTAACTCGAAAGGATCACAGTCATTGCCAGTCTTCTCTCCATTTGATCAATGTTTTCTAGATTGCGAGTTTCAAACAATTCCTTTCTTTAGGATCCATTCATGAGGCATTATCGCGGAATTTTACGACAAATCAAATTCTAGCCAAAGATTTTGCATTATTCAGCTTTAATGTTAGTGCCGTGGGAGAAAATCTCATGTTCCCCAAATCATTTATGGCTTTATACCAATGAGATATTCTTATAAATTTATTAGAATTCAATTTCTCTCAGATGTATCGATGACGTCACAGCGTTGGTAATTGACAATGGATCGGGAATGTGTAAAGCTGGATTCGCGGGCGACGATGCTCCCCGTGCCGTATTCCCGTCCATCGTTGGGCGACCCCGACATCAAGGAGTTATGATCGGCATGGGACAGAAAGACTCTTACGTCGGTGACGACGCGCAATCAAGAAGAGGCTAGTTAGTTTCCATTTGATAGACAATGAGTAGAATGGTCCAATATTTTCTTAAATATACCGCTTTATACGATATTTAAGGAAGAATTTTGTGAAAGTGTGATGAGAAGTTATTGTTAAATCATGGATATCGACGAAAAATTTGGTTTGATTGACACTGGAATTCGATAGAACAAAAGTGCAACAGCCATGCCTTGATGTGGTGCTTTACGCATCCTCCAGTTTCCAATTGAGTAGACGTTTGATTTTCTTGCCATAAACTTGGGAAACTGAACAATATTATAGTTCGGATTAACTGTTCAGCGTCGGTCAAGCTCTGAGGTTTACCACAGACATTTGATTCTAACAACTTCCGCCTAGGTGAGATTAAAATAACAGCCATTTGTGTATTTCACAATACCTCTACCATAATGCTACACACTTCTCTGTTTCAGTTATATCATTTGTAATGCCATTAGCTGTTGATAATTCGAGCGAAACCAATAGACACTTCGTCTGATCTTGTTAACTGCCTCGTAGACTTCGCTTACATAGAGAACGCAATAATTGCCATGTTTCTCGCACACTTCCTCTTGGTTTTTTGCTGCTTTTGGCAAGCAACTAGCCTCAGATAGCTTTGCAGCCACTGCTAGTTTCCAGCTCTTAAAATATGAGAAAAACTTTCAAATGTGAGTTCAAGCCTTTTTCAGTGTATCTTCAGTCACATGTGCACTCATGCATAAATGTGAGCGTGTGCTGGGAGCAAGTTATATGTCCGGCTCGCAAATATCGTTGGTAAAACCCTTTTCAAGAGTACAATGCCGCTTTTCTCCTATACTTCTTAGCTTCTCCACCTTTTCTTCTACCCTTATGCTCCACATCCATGACATGGCATTTACTTCGTAGCTATCCGTTGAATAGCTCAGGAACAAGAGGTATGATATACTAACGATACCAGCCAAAAGCAAGCGAGTGCACAACATTGTGTGTTCACTGATAATTCTACTTGACATACAGTGTAAAATGTTCGTCCTCGCCTACTCTTAGTATGGGGGACTGAGCGCTCCGAGAGGTTTGACTAAAGACGGAAGTAGTACGCGACTGATGAGACCGTCAAGGTTGAAACTCTATCGGGCTCCATAAGCCACCTCATTTGATACATCACATGACATGTTGTCTCAATAATTGCGAGATAGCTAAGGATTCTCGATGTGAAGGAAACTGTATAACGCCACACAGATTTAGCCTCTATAGGAAGAAATACTAGAATTGCATGCGATATTGTATAGCTATGAAATAATTTACCATGTATACCGAAAAGCTGAAAGAAGTCCTTCAGATGTCATTTGAGCAATGATCAAAGCAAATCTTTCTGGGGCGATCACGTGGATCGATCACTAATTATGACTGATTGTATAGATTTGCTATTATAGTATCTACCAAAGTGGGTGGATTGAGAGCTCATAAGACACAGTTCTACTTTCACCACACACCAAGAAAAATTCATTCCTCACTATTCAATTGACTATTTTTTCTACCGGATTACTTTAATTTACACTTTAGGTATTCTCACGCTCCGTTATCCCATAGAACATGGTATAGTGACCAACTGGGACGATATGGAAAAAATCTGGCATCATACCTTTTACAACGAGCTTCGAATAGCTCCTGAGGAGTACCCGGTACTGCTTACCGAGGCACCGCTAAACCCAAAAACTAATCGAGAAAAAATGACTCAAGTCAGTGGTCTTTCTTATTTATTTGTTTTTGAAACTTTATAAGGGCACTACAAAGACAACTGAATTAGCTTTGACTACATAATGAAATCATGAAAAGAAAAATAAAACAGGGAAGTTTTGAATACACAATCTTTAATAACATTTTCTCTCTGAACACTCTGAATCTCTCCTCCAATTCAATTGAATCCACAACATTCTACTCCTGATCTCCACATTTCCAGATAATGTTCGAGACCTTCAACACTCCAGCTGTGTATGTAAATATTCAAGCCGTATTATCTCTTTACGCCTCTGGTCGAACGACTGGTATAGTGCTCGACACTGGAGACGGAGTTACGCATACTGTGCCCATTTATGAGGTTAGTGGAATCTTTCTCTCGTATACAGCTCATGTCGGTGAGAAAAATGTTTACTTCCTAGGGTTACGCTCTCCCCCATGCGATTCAGCGTCTTGACCTCGCCGGACGAGATCTTACCGACTATATGATGAGGATTCTTACTGAACGTGGTTATTCATTCACTACCACCGGTTCGTACTTATAATAAGACCACTTTGTCGTTAAATCATTAGTAACAGTAAAACACATTGACATAGCTGCTTTAACTTCAGTGCATTTGACTGTTCCAGCTGAGCGTGAAATAGTTAGAGATCTGAAAGAAAAGCTGTGCTACGTGGCTCTCGACTTCGAGCAGGAATTTGCTTTAGCCGCTGGCTCGTCGATCGAAAAGGCTTATGAACTACCTGATGGGCAGGTGAACGTTGAACACTTCCGTGAACATATTTTTTATCTTATTTACTACAGAATTTTTGCTCTAACGTCAAGCTATCATACTAGGGCAGTGCGTGATATATAACCACAAGAGTGCTGAA